GGAGGAGCAGGAGGAAGATCAGGAGGAGGAGAAGGAGGAGGAGGAGTAATCCGATCAGATACTACAAGGTGCGTCGATTCAATGTGCTGACGTGACGCGCTTTTCGAATGGGAGAACATCGAGGAGGAGGAGGAGGAGAACGAGGAGGAAGATTGACCGATCGAGCGATCTTCGCCATTCTCGTCAACCTCCTCTGGGAGTGGAGTGCAGGGCTGAGGAGTGCGGTGAGGTGCATGGCTGAGGAGTGCGATGGGGTAGGGAGGAGTCCCGAGGATTCGGGAGAAGTACCCGGGGGTGAGATGGAGAGAGGAGTCCAGAGGAGTGCGGAGGAGTGCCGAGGAGTGCGATGGAGTGGGGAGGAACGTGGAGGAATGCCGAGGATTGCGATGGAGAGATGAGCGCGGAGGAGTGCAGAGGAGTGTGGAGGAGATTGGGGAAGTGCGGGGGAGCGCGGAGGAGTGTGGTGGAGTGCGGAGGAGTGGGGAGGATTGGGCTGGAGTGATACAGAGTGCGATGGAGTAGGGAGGAAGCTGGAGGAGTGCCGAGGAGTGCGATGGAGTGCAACGGAAAGAGGAATGCTGAGGTGGGAGGAGGAGCGCCGAGTAGTGCGGCGGATTGGGCATGTGTTAGGAGTTGGAGTGCCGAGGAGTGCCGAGGCGTGAGATGGAGGAATCTGGAGGAGTGGGGATAAGTGCCGAGGAGTGCGATGGAATGGGGCCAGCGCGCCGCCTTTCCCGCAAGGCGGTGAGAATAGGCAGGCAGTATCTTCCTTTGCCCATGCGCTCCAGCGTTCGGCATTTCTTGAAGATTTGAAAACCGAAGAGTGAGATAGAGGACGAGTCCTCGTGGGGCGCTCGTGAGCGCTTTTGGACCTGCCTTAGGGCTATATGGGAATATCTTGCGGGTCATCTTGTAGCCACTTCGAGGCATTAAAATCCATTCGGAAGCGACACGGCGAGAAGACAATCATACGTGTCTTAACTGGGTCCTTCGACCCCTGGGCCTCGAGCCTCGATATGCTCGACCTTCGAAATCCTCGAGTTTTTCCCAACCATCCTGTGGTGTTGGGTCCTCGTTTTGAAGAGAAAGCGCCCCGCGTCCCACCTCCTCTCCTCCTCCCCCCCTCCCCCCTCCTCCTCCTGCTTGCCTTTGCTCTCGGCACACCTCTCACACGTTTTGTAGCCCCATAGGGAGCTCCACCGAAGGTCCCAGTGGCACAGCCAGCATGCGGTTCCCCCACCCAGGGCAGCGCTTCGTGGCCCCATAGGGAGCTCCGAAGGTCCCAGGTGGCAACAGCCCGCATGCGGTTCCCCCGCCAGGGCAGCGTTTCGTCGGGGTCCACCGTAGCACGCGGTTCCCAGGTTCGGGGGTGTTGCGGTGGGCAGCGTTTGGCCCCATAGGGAGCTCCACCGAAGGTCCCAGTGGCACAGCCCGCATGCGGTTCCCCCACCCAGTACAGCGTTTCGTAGCCTCATAGGGAGCTCCACCGAAGGTCCCAGTGGCGCAGTTCGCATGCGTCCCCCCCACCCAGTACAGCGTTTCGTGGCCCCATAGGGAGCTCCACCGAAGATCCCAGTAGCGCAGTTCGCATGCGTCCCCCCCACCCAGTACAGCGCTTCGTGGCCCCATACGGGGCTCCCCCGAATGCGATACCTACAACTGCATATGGTTGGGTCCTTCGCCAGGCTAATTTACATAACAGCGAAGACTGATAGGTTTCTAATGGGGTCAAAAGGGAGCATCTGATGACTCCCCAGGAGAGTCTGGGCGGGAGCCGGACAGGCGAGGGCTGGGCTCGTTTTAAGCAAACAGTCATACACGTCGTGCTCTTCGACCTCCCAGAACTCCATTCCCGGGCCACATTTTGAATGCCCGGAGCCAACTGTAGGCCACTTCGTGCTCTTGGACTTCCCAGAACTCCATTCCCGGGCCACATTTTGAATGCCCAGAGCCAACTGTAGGCCACTTCGTGCTCTTCCATGTCCCAGAACTCCACTCCCGGGCCACATGTTGGATGCCCGGAGCCAACTGTAGGCCACTTCGTGCTCTTGGACTTCCCAGAACACAACTCCCAGGCCACATTTTGAATGCCCAGAGCCAACTGTAGGCCACTTCGTGCTCTTCCACTCCCCAGAACTCCACTCCCGGGCCACATTTTGAATGCCCCGAGCCAACTGTACGCCACTTCGTGTTCTTCCACTTCCCAGACTTCCAAGATTCATCATTTTCATCATCAGCATCGTCCCCGTAGCCTTCTTGGCTACAGCCCTGCTTTCGAAGATTTCTTTTCAAAGGAACTGCGCAGCGCCTACTGCGCACCTTAATGCCAGGACATGCTGATAGTTCTCGGTCTGGCGGCGGTGCTCCTGACCCTGCTGCATTGAACAGCGGTGCTCCTCAGCCTGCGGCAGGGAACAGCGCTGCTCCTCAGCGCGCTGCATTGAGCGGTCCTCTGCAAACGCTCGTCGAGCACGTGAAGCAGTTCGGCCAGATACCGAAGCGAAATAAAGGAACGTCCGAACAAGAACGGGCCGAAAACAAGTTGGCCCAAACGTTTCTCGGACCATCGCGACCGCATCCCCAAAGACATTTTGCATGAACTGCGGGCCCTGGGCTGTGCTGATCAGCAGACGGAGACCGAGGAGCTCAAGCGGAAGCGGAAGACCGAGGAGCTCATGCAGCAAAAGCGAGACAATACCGAGGAGCTCACGCAGCAAGTGCGAGACCTCGGCCGCCGCCCGAAGGAGTATGCCGGGCGTAGCCTCGCAGAGCGGCAGCTGGCAGAGAAAGTCCGGAAAGCACGGAAGGCTAACCAGTGTTCCCCGGAGCAGGACGCCGAGCTCCAGGCTTTCAAGCAAGCGGAGAGCGAAGCCACAACAAAGACTCGCATCGCGGAGGCGGAGGGCCTTCCAAACCCCATGGAAGGGTTCGCTGAGGAGGCGCAGAACAGGATCGACCAGGACCTGCTGATGCTCGAGAGCGGCATCCGGACCGAGGCAATCCTGCGGCGCCTTGCCGCCTACAAGGAGCTTGTGTCCAGCCTCTCTGCGCAACGCGCGGAATTCGCGCAGCGGTGCGCGGAGCGGGTGCGCAAGGCGTCGGCCGCCCCCGCGGGGCAGAGCTGCTGCGTTCCCGGCGGCGAGGTGGAGGGGGGCCAGCTGCGCGTCTTTTCCGACCGCCCCGTCATGACGGGGCCGCTCGTGTGCCAGCTCTGCGACTGCGATTTTTTTACAGAGGAAGACTTTGCGCGGCGCAAGCAGCAGGGCCACGCGGGCGAGGCGGAATACCGCAAACGGGTGCTGTTCCTGATGGCGGAGGCTGGCTGCAGGCCGATAACCGCCCAGGAAAAGAGGCTCATGGTGCAGAATTTTGCTCACTTCCAGCAGTTCTGTCACCTGGGCAGCAAGGGCGACCGCTTCTCGGGCAACGCAGTGCGCCGGTGCGAGGCAGCCTGCGTAGTCTGTGCGCAGAAAGATTACCTCGAGCACCGCCGCAAACTGAGTCTGTTTGGCGCAGTGCCGGAGGGCCGTGTATCCGAGCACTGCGCGGGCCCTGCAAGCGACCAGGACGACGTGTCCGAGGGCGAGGCGAATGCGCGACCCGCGCGGACCCTGGTGAAGCACCGCGGGGTGTACTACTTGCAGTCCCCGGAGCTCGTGCAGAAGCTCCTGGACGTGTACAGGTACAGGCAGCGGTGGCCTTTGATCCCGTACGAACAGCTGCGCGCGTCCAGCGTTCAGCATCCGGAGCACCCAGAGTGGCGGTGGCTGCTGCACTCCCGTAGAGTCCCTGTGGTAGCACCACCGGAAGCAACGGCGAGCACATGCGGTGCTTCTCAGCCTGCTGCCGACAGGCCCGGCGGAGCTTCTCAGCCTGCAAGTTTTGCCGACTGTCCGCTTCGCACGCCGCTCCTCAGTGCGCTCCTCTTCCGTTTGCGAGATGTCTTCCAAGATTTGGTTTGGGGCCGAGAAAGACGGACAGAACAAATCCAAGTAGCGCGGTCATCGTCCCATCTTCCTCCTCAATCATCACATCATCATCATCAATGGCTTCGCCGAGCACCCCGGTGGAGACTCAGGTCTTCCGGGTCGGTGCCCATACTACTACTACTACTACTACTACTACTACTACTACTACTACTACTACTACTACTACTACTACTACTACTACTACTACTACTACTACTACTATTACTACTACTACTACTACTACTACTACTACTACGACAGCACACTCAATCCATTCATGGGAGTGCCTGTTTTGGAGCTGCATTCATTGATGCAAGTGTGTCGTTTGAGGCTGAACCCGTTGATAGCAGTGTCTCGTTTGGAATCACATCCCGTGATCGCAGTGTCTTGTTTAGACCTCAATGCATGTATACAAAGATCCCATTTTTAGATACCGTCACCGAAAGCTCCCATCACTCCTACTCGTTCACTCCACACACTACAACTACTACTTCACTGTTACCACTACTACCATCACTACTACTTCTACTGCTACTTCTACTGCTACTACTACTGTTACTGTTACTGCTGCTGATGCTGTTGCTGCTGCTAGTGTAGCTATTGCTACTGCAACTACTGGCAGTGCCACTGCGACTGCCGCTGATGTTGCCACTGCGACTGCCACTGCGAATCCGAATGCGACTGCGAGAACACCAGGATTCTACAACAACGCTCTTACATGAATACCACAGGCGATGTTTCCAGCTATGCTTCTACACATCGCTGTTCGGTTGCTTTGCCGGGATAATTTTTGATTGTCGAAGTCGTCGGGGGCCTCGATCTTGGATGCCAACAAAGCCCAGGGAAACTCGAGGTACTCTCGGGGTCCCCTTGAGGTCCAGTCGAGGCTTTCGCGGGGAGGCCTCGAGGCCCCCCCGAGCTTTGCGAGCTCCGCGAGCCCGTTCGGCCCCCGACGACGACGACGACGGCGACGAGGAGCCGCTCGAGCCCGGCGGCTCCGCCCCCGACGGGCGCCCCCCCCCCTCCCCCCAGGCGGCCGACCCGCGTTCGCCGCATGGTCCGCCGCGGCGGGATGGGTGCGTCCGTGCGTGAAGGCCGCCCGCCCGCCGCCGCCTCGCCCCCGCCGCCGGCCGGGGCCCTGCCGCCGCCCTCGCCGCGGCCCTCCGCCGACCGCATCGCGCAGGCCCGCGGCCGCGGCCCTCGCCGCGCGGGGCGCTCGCCGCGGACGCCCGCCGCCCTCGCGCGGGTCGGCGCCGCCGCCCGCCCCTCGCCGCGGGCCGCGGCCGGGCCGCCGCCGCCGCGGCCGCCGCCGCCGCTGGCCGCCGGCCGAGGAGGCGGCCGCGGCCGCGGCCGCCGCGGCCCACGTGCCTGCTCAATGAAGTCGGGCCCTACAGTGAGGTCGGGCCGTCGGGTCTGTCCCCCGTCCCCTCCGAGGTCGGGCGTGTCCCCCTACAGCTAAAGTTGAGTCGGGCCTGTCCCTCCACAGGGGGAAAATGCAAGAGCAGTGAAACAATTGTCCGGGGACGATTCTTTGGGGCTACTTCTGAATATTATGGGGGCATTTTTTGCGTTTTTTTTGTTTTTTGTTGTTGTTTTTTGTTTGTTTGTTACCTAACAGCGAAGACTGATAGGTTTCTAGTGGTCTCAAAAGAGCTCACAGATCACTCCACAGGGGGGTCCGGGCAGGTGTTGGGGCGTTTCCGGGCGGCTAGGAGGGCGGCTCGTTTTTCACCAACAGTCACACACTTCGTGCTCTTCGCCTTCCCAGAACTCCATTCCCAGGCCACATTCTGGGGGCCGGATGCAACTGTAGGCCACTTCGTGCTCTTCGACATCCCAGAACGCCATTCCCGGGCCACATTCTGGGGGGCCGGATGCAACTGTAGGCCACTTCGTGCTCTTCGACATCCCAGAACGCCACTCCCGGGCCACATTCTGGATGCCCGGAGCCAACTGTAGGCCACTTCGTGTTCTTCCATTTCCCAGAACTCCATTCCCGGGCCACATTTTGGATGCCCGGAGCCAACTGTAGGCCACTTCGTGGTCTTCGAGTTTCCAGAACTCCATTCCCGGGCCACATTTTGGGTGCCCGGAGCCAACTGTAGGCCACTTCGTGGTCTTCGAGTTCCCAGAACTCCACTCCCGGGCCACATTTTGAATGCCCGATCCAACTGTACCACTTCGTGCTCTTCGAGTTCCCCAGAACTCCATTCCCGGGGCCACATTTTTGAATGCCCGTAGCCAACTGCAGGCAACTTCGTGCTCTTCGACTTCCCAGAACTCCCATTCCTGGCCACATTTTCAGCAGGGGCAAGAGCACGACGAGGAGGAGGACGAGCAAGACCAGGAGGACGAGGACGAGCAGGAGCAGGACGAGGAGCAGGAGGAGCAGGATAAGAAGGACGAGCAGGAGGAGGAGGAGGACGAGCAGGAGGAGGAGGACGACCAGGAGGAGGAGGACGACCAGGAAGAGGAGGAGGAGGAGGAGGGGAGGGAGGAGTACCGAGGAGGAGGAGGAGGAGGAGGAGAGGAGGAGGAGGAGGAGGAGGAGGAGGAGGGGGAGAGGAGGAGGAGGAGGAGGAAGATTAGGATGAGGAGAGGACGAGGCCGAGGTGGAGAGGAGGGGGGGGAGAGTACCAGGAGGAGAGAACGGGACCACCAGAGGAGGAGGGGAGGAGAGAGGAGGAGGAGAGGAGGAGGAGGAGGAGAGGAGGAGGAGGAGGAGGAGAGAGAGAACACAAGGAGGAGGAAAGGCGGCCCTCAGAATTCAGGAAAACGAGGACGACCAGGAAGAGGAGGAGGAAGAGGAGGAGGAGGGGAGGGGGAGGACTACCAGGAGGAGGAGGAGGAGGAGGAGGAGGAGGAGGAGGAAGAGGAGGAGGAGGAGGAGGAGGAGGAGGAGGACGAGGAGGAGGGGGAGGGGGGGGGAGAGCCACCAGGAGGAGGAGAACGAGGACCAGCAGGAGGAGGAGGAGGAGTAGGAGGAGGAAGGAGGAGGAGGAGAGGATGGAGGAGGAGGAGGAGGAGGAGAGAACACAGGAGGAGGAGGACGAGCAAGACGAGGAGGACGAGAACGGACGAGCAGGAGGAAGAGAGGAGGAGGAGGAGGAGGAGGGGCAGGAGAAAGAGGAGGAGGGCGGAGGAGCAGGTGAGAGGCTTGACTTCCGTTGCCCCCTGTGGCGACTGCATCGAATCTTAAGGGGAATGCTTTCAGATATGCTTCTACACATCGCTGTTAGGTTGCTTTGCCGGGATAATTTTTTTTCCCCCCAAAAATCTCCCTGTAGGGGGACACGCCCGACTTAACCCTACAGGCCGGGTTTGGACGGACAGTAAGAATAGCCCAAGAACTTTGTGACAAATGGTCCAGGGTCGTCAAAAACATCAGGAGAGCGTTGTCGTTTTTGCGGAGGCTACTCTTACACATTCCTCCTGTAGCGGGATGTGCCCGACTGACCATTGGCGTGCTCGCTGCCTCGTGTTTTTGGGGGCTCCTGCCGGCAGACGCCGCGGGATCTCGGAGGCCGCGGGGCTGGCCTTGCAGCAGCCGCGCCGCGGGGACGTGCCTGGTGGGTGCCCAGAGCCGCCGCCGCTCGGCCGCGGGAGCCCCCGGTGTGGCGGCCGGAGCAGCACTCCAGGCCTCCCGTGAGTCGGGGGCGGTAAAGAGGGGGGTGATGACTAGGGGGGGGGGGTGGATATCATGGCGTGGGCCATGATATTTCCCCAGATCTCACGGCGCCCCTTCTTATATATATTCCATTACGTCCCTGGCCTCCCCGCTGGGCCGCGCACGTGCCGCCGGTCATGATGTGCACCCCCCCCTCTTGGACACCCCCCTCTTGGCCGCCCCCGAGTGAGGCGTGCGGAGAGGCTTCCGAAGGCCGTTTGTCGGGTCGCCAGAGGTGCCCAGGCCTGAGCGCGTCGTGAGGAGGTCAGGGCGGCCCGTGTTTCGCTGTGCTCGGCCCCTGGGGGGCCCTCGCCGGGCCCCAGGACCGTCAGAATGGATGCAGGGTGCACAAAGCCGGTCCTGGGGAGAGGATCGGGGCTTCCGGGGGACGCCGTCCTGGAAAAATCAGGACGGCGCATGGCTGGGTATCTAATGTCGAAGAAGGTCAAGGCCAAGCCTGTATGCCCGCGAAGGGGCGGCCGCTCAGGGCACAGGCGGGTGAAAACTAGCAGACGCTCACGTGGTGAAGAAAATCTCCTGTCATACAATTCCACGAATGTGGGTCTTCGGCTGCTAATCTCCAGTCGCCGATCCCGTATTTGTCGCAGAAACACTGAACATCAGATTCCCACGTCTTCCGCGGTCTCCCTTGGGACCTGTTTCCGGTAGGTGACCATGCAAGAACGCGTGACAGCCATCTGTCGGCAGGCAGGTTGGCGACGTACCCTGCGAAGTTCCAGTATTGGCGAAGCAATGCTTCCGACCAGAATTTGGTCTGAGTGCCTTGCAAGTTTTCCGTAACACGCTCGTGCCACACATGCAATATCTCATGCCATGGGCGAGTCCAGCCGACCCCGTCTGGCGGCCCGACAATTTGTCGAAGAAGCTTGCGACACGCAGCGTCCAGCTTCTTCCTCTCGGCTGCATAGACCACGCGGTGAGCAGAACCAAACATGGCAATCGGGGTGATGACGGCATGGAAGTAGTTCAAGCGCAGCTCAACCGGTACATGCTTCGCTGCGAAGATCGACCGGCTCGCGAACAAAGCCCTTGTAGCAGCTTGAAGATGGTATTCCTGGTCCTGATTCACAACGTCGGTCGACGACATGCATCCTAACCATTTGAGAGAGTTCGCACGTTTGATATGTACACAGGAGGGGCGCAAGAGCTTGTCTGGCGGTTGCGCCTCGGTCGTCAGAGCTACAGTTTTGTCGGCGTTCAGCATCAGGCCAATTGCGGCGAGCTCCTCAACTAGCGACGTCAGAAGAGTCGCAGCCTCTTTTTTGCGATTTCGCGAAACATATTAAGTCGCCAGCAAATCGTAAATCCAATAATCGACGCAATCCGTCTCCCAAGTCAAAACTTGCTGCCCTGGACTCCCGACGCCAACGGGCCATCGCCCACTTGGCTGAGAACGCAACCCTGTCGGACCCCAGCTCGGATGTCAAAAGGGTCGCTGCGCTGAGAATTGCCTTTCACCTGCCCAGTCTGTTTCTCGTACAGCAGATGCAATATCCATATGAGGTGGTCGGAGATACCGTGCCCGTGCAAAGCCGACCACAGAGCAGACCAATTCACACGATCGAAAGCCTTTGACAAATCCAAACTCACTGCCCAAACCGTGACACCAACTGACCTGGTCTTGTCTAAAAACATGTTTGCTGTCAGAAGTTGCTCCTCGATGCGGTAATCGGCCCGGAAAGCGTGCTGTTCTTCAGGTAGGTGTTTGTCAAGTACTTTCTCTAAGTGCCCCAACACCAAATATTTAATATGCAAATAGCTTGTACAAAACCCGTACGCTGGCAATGGGCCGGTAATCAGATACAGCTACGGCTTTCGCATTTTTCGGAAGCATTTGGAACAAGGCTCGTCGCCAGCTCTCCGGGGGAAGCCCCTCCATCAATACTCTGTTGTACAATGTTAGCAGACAACCCCTGAATGGAGCTGGAGTGTTGTGTAGGAGTTCTGCAACCAAGCCAATGCCAGCAGAAGCTCGCTTCGCGTTCGTCCTGCCCACCGCAGCGTCGAGTTCTGTCGCGGAGAACATATCCTCTGTGAAAATTTGCGGTCTTTCTGGCGCAGGCGATACCCAAGCAAACAAACCGCCAAGGAATTGAGCAACATCACTCTCCGATGGTGGTTGGGGTTGGCTTCTCCCTTCGATCTTGTCCAACAACGATTTGGCTTCGTGCCAATGCTTTGAACTTGTCAACATGTCTTCCAATTGTGCTGTCTTCCATGTTCTGACCTCCTGTCTTCTGCAAGCGCCGGATCTTAAAGCTAAGCCGCTTGCATTCAGCCCGGTCGCGGGCGCGTCTTCTCTGAACCCGGAGTTCCTGGAGACGTGAACTTGGACTAAAACGTATCTTGCGGGTCGCCGTACAGCCGAATTTGGTTGCCGCATCTTGAAGGGCCGCTCCAACTTGC